GGCAGCGGGAGCGCCGGTAACGGGTGGCGCTTGTGGTGCGTTTCAGGCCTTTTCCCTCTTCGTCAAAGCAAAGGAGGTGCCGGCCGCAGCCCGGTGTCCCGCCGGCGGAGAGGGCGTGCGGTGGCGGTGCTGCCGGCTGGCCTTCGAAGAGCTCTCCGGCATTCACAGGCATGTGGCCCTGCAGCACGCCGGAGACATCGGGCGGCAGGCGGGCCTGGCCGCAAAGCAGGCAGCTGCTGAAGCGGGGCCCTCGAGCGTCCCGGCTCCCGCGGGCAACGCAGACGGGCTGAATGGGCGCTCTGGTAGCAGTCCTGAGATCTCCTGTACGCTCCCAGACACAAGCCACGTTAGCTACGATGATCTGACAAGGTAAGAAAGTCCCTCAGCGGTTCGGAGGACCGGTGCTGGCCGGGAGTGGGGAGTGGGCCAGCTGGCGCTTTACATGATCTTCTGACAGTACTGCTCTTCATTTTTATGACGTTCAGTCAAGTGACGCTTTGAGATATAGAACGAGTCTTCCCTGATACTCTTTTAGATCTTCAGATGCTTTGGATACCTTCCTGAGATACTTCTTTAGATCAACAGGTGTAGGTACCCTCCAGGAGTCACTTGGTTTATTTGGATTCCTTTCACAACAGCTCACGCCTGTACAAAACATGCAAATTACCACTGTGCTGATAAAGAAGTAGATATGCTGCATTTTCTTTGATGGTAAAGGTGGGAACTTGGGAGGATTGAACTATCGGAGCTATATCATCCCGTGCTGTTAAAGCAGACCTGTACAGGTGTTACTCGATGGCTTAGATCTGGAAGTAAGGACGGGCCGTAACAGAAAAGAGCAGAACGGCAGGGTCTGCTCTGCGCAGGTCCCTTTTCTCTGCTCGTTCAAGTAACTTAAGGGCTCGTTAGTGATGAGTAAATAGGTTCAAAAAGTGTTTCTGACTGTGCGAGAGTTCGGCATGTGCAGCTCAGAATGCAGGCACACACAATCTCACTGCAAATTGAAAAATTGAAATTTGGAATTTAGATTGCTCAACCACTTGAATTCTCAGTGTGCGAGTTTGTCAAATTAAGCATTTAATGGACACTTGTATGCACAGAAAACAGCAGTTCTTGTGTCTTGTGTGTTGAGAGAAACTTGAGTAGAGCACACTGTAGGCTGCTGGCAGAGATGACCCATGCAACACAGATGAGTTCATTTTGTAACTAGTCCTGACAACTAGGAATGTGGGAGGGTTTTTTTAGTTCATATTCTTTCTCTTTGAAATAAATCAAACCCAGCAGTGCTGGGTTTTTGTTGTTTTGTTTTGTTTTTCTCCCCACATCTGCCAGAAGAAAGTTGTCTGCTTTTTGAATGGTTACTGCTAATAGTATATTTTTGTGCTTTCAACCCTAACATCCTTTTCCTGTTTGTTCATCTTTGCCATGCTATGGACAGCAAGGTGGGAGAAGTACTTCTCTATTACTGTTACTGTGAGGTGAAGGATCCAGAGAAACTGTGTGCTTGGCAAAAGGCTCTGTGCCAACATCTGCATCTCACTGGCAAGGTGAGGTTTTAAGCAATGGTTGTATTCTTAAAAAAATCTTTACTTGGTGCAGGATGATGGGGCATGTGGAGAAGTGTTTTGTACCAGAAGGTGCTAGTCTGTTATGATCCCATTAAGAAAGGCACTCAGACTCTGTACAAATGCTATTTAAGAGCTAACGCTACAAAGAAAAAGAAAATACAGATAATCTTATATGCCTTTCGATGCTGGGAACCCTGAGTTGTGCAGCATTGAGCGAGCCTCTGATCCATGCACAGCACACTGTGCAGACCCTGTCCTTGCAAGGGTTACCCTATTTCCATCATTCAAACTGTTGCAGATTTTTTTTTTACAGGAAAACAAGTCTTTTCAGTACTCCTGCTGTCAAACAGAAAGGATATTCACATGAGAACTTCTTGATGCACTTTTAGATAAAGGCAAGGACACGCAGGTGGCATAATCACTGGTATCAGCAGGGAGCTGCATGCAGGGTTATCGGGCTGGGTTTATCCTGCTGCTAAAGGATACGTGCAGCACAACACAGGCTGAAGGCCAAGCTGGAGGTGCAGCACTGTGCGGCATGGGTCTGGGCTTGCTCTGGTTAACTGTTATGTGTATCACTAACTCCTCAATGCGCAATGGTCTTCCAGTCAGAATCACTACACTGAGCTGCAGTGTAGTGTCAGGAATGAGACGAGAGCAACCGACACCTTAGACCACACCATAGGATAGCAGTGCTCATTTCTGTACAGAGCCTCTGTTCTTTTCATTCCGGCAGATTAGACCAAATGAGGTGTCATTTACATCTAGCTGGCCTCTTGAGGCTGTGGGCAAAGGTGAATTTTAGCCTTGTGAAGCTGATGTTCCTAGGCTATCTGTGGGGAGAAGGATTTTTCAAGAGGGCAACTCAGAGCAGGAGACTACTTTTATTTTTGACTTGTCTTCCTAAATAGCTTCTTTTTCTTTGCCAATGGTAGGCACCTTCCCAGTTCTACATCAGCACAGGTCTGGGGGTGAAATGTCCTGATGCATTCATTCCTTTTTTTGCTCAGCTGTCTTGCCTGGTAGTTGGTATTTTTCTCAAATTTTTTTTTTTTTCATCTCCAAGACAGGTACAGCATTTGCCTTCTCAACCAGTTGTTTTTCTCCTTGCCTCTTATATTAAATCTTTTTTTCTTTTACCACTTCAGAGTTTTTGTTCATTTGTCAGTGCTGGAGATAAAATGACTTGCACTGAAATTTACATGCAATATTATGCATATTCACATTTTTCCTTTTAGCTGTGTGAGTCATTGGGCACAAACCATTGTTCTTCCTGAGGCAGACTTCCAGTGGGAATTTTAATGCTGACTGCAGGATTTGCTTGTTAACCAGTTAGCACTTCTGTTTATTGCACAAACTTTTCTGACTGTCTTGATGTCATTCTTTTGAAATGGCTCAAAAGTGATTACTGGGGTTTTATTCCTGTTTTATTTACTGTCGTCTTTATGTTCAACTTCAGTATAACCTTCTTTGCCTTTCTTCCTCAGTAGTCTCTTTTCTGGACATACTTCTGTGTCTGCCTTTTGTCACCCAGTCATATTTTGTGAATTTCACCGAGATCTGTTTTTCCTGTTACTAAGCCTTAGCCCCAGCTTCTCCTCTTCCCTTCTAGGTACGAGTTGCTTCAGAAGGGATTAATGGGACAGTTGGTGGAAGCAAAGTAGCTACCAATCTCTACATTGAAGTTATGCTTTCCCAGCCTCTGTTCAAAGACATTTTGTGTCAAGAGGATTTCAAGGTATGAAAAAATAATTTCTGCATAGGCATTGTTAATGAAGGACATCTAATTTTTGAGAAATAAGCACATTGCTTCTTGATAGTATTACTTTTGCTCTAGCAGTTCTGCTCTCCCAGCACTGATCTAAGCCAAGGGTTACTAACCTTACTTTGTTTAGATATCTCTGCTGGTTTTCACCAGCAGTAGCAGTTATCACGAGCAGTGATAGCAGCTGCTACAAGCTTTGGCAGCTATGGATGCAGCTGCAAAGCCCCCCATAGGGGTGAATGAGGGAGTGTGCTTCAGCCCCACCATTCTTCAACAAGCATTTACTCCAACTTCACTGCCAGAACCAAACCATCACAATGTACACTTACCCTAGCAAACTATTCCCACAGTCTCTTCCTCACCCTAATTTGAGATCCTTGCCTAGAAGCCTACTGGTTTAGGTTCGCACAGGCTTTGGTGTGCATATAGGTGCACTGTCAGTTCCATGAGCTGGATGTCTTCTAGAGAAAGTACACAGGCAGAGTCAAGAGGTCTCTCCCTACTCCAGTTAGTGCCTGACTGGAGGGAGAGTGAGGTGCTAACTTCTGCTTGAGCCTGAGCATATGTGCTGATTTCTGTCTTCAGATGGTGATGGCAGCTGTGGCTGGCACCATATGGCATTCTGGTAGGCTTTTTCTGCCCCAGCACTGTAGGTACGGCTTTCTCTGTGAGGAAGGAAAGCTGCTGCTTTTATAGCATTTTTGTCTTCACACAGTTTTATTTGCAGGGAGTACTATTTTTTTTCTCCATAAATAACTAGATCAAAGGAATTAGTGAAACTTGTGAAACTCAGATCCCATGTAGAGCTGCGGTGCTGATTCCGTCTTAGCTTTTTAACTGTCTGTTGTGCTTGGCTGAATGTCAAAAGTAAACGTGACCTGTTAGTTGCAGTCATGTGTAGATGCAAAAACAGAGCAGGGATGGAATTTTACCTTGGCAAAACCTCCAACCCTGCATGATCTTTCTGGACATCAACATTCATGCATTAGTACATGATGGTATTTTCTGTCTCTCAGTTCCTCTGCATGCTGGGTACCCAAGTAAGTGGGGATTTAGGTCCCTGTGCCATGGAGAGATGGGCATAGAAGAGTGAAAATTGCACTTGGGGCTATGAAAATATTCACTGGCCACTGTAGTTGCTGCAGACTGATTTCCGTGATAGCTGGGACGGTGCTGCACAGCACTGCACTTCTGAGTGTTTATATGCTTGATAGCGCCTAAGCCACGTTTGAGGCTCAGCCCTGCAGAAATTCTCACTCCCTGTCGCTTGCAGTGGGGGTGCCTACCAAGAAGGGCTTGCCAAGACCTCCAAAGGGCAAATCCTGCGCTTGAGGTTGGGGGGGGTGGGGTGGTAGTGGTGTCAGACTCCACTGTTAAACCTTGAGCCTGGCTGACCTCCCATATGTCTCTTTCACACCCATGCGTAGTTCCCATCGCACACGTCATGACTGGAGGCCTAGCTGTGCTTGTGTCGGGCATCAGAGGAGCTGAAGAGAACTGCAGGGCCAGATGTCTCAACACGATCTGTTACTGGAGGAGGTCATTTAATATTCCTGTCAGGGTCAGCATGCTCTGTGGGGGCCTTGACTTTCTCATGATAGGTGCTAGTGACATTGTTTCTGACCAAGATCTGTTCTCCTTCCCACTCCTTGGTGACTCCGCACTTCATGCCAAATGGTGCCTGTCTCACCTTCAGAGTAGTCACTGGGCCTAAGACACCTGTCTGCCAGGTCACGGTAGGGCTCCACTGCCTAAACCTCGGGATTTAGAGTGTGGATTTCAATGAGAGAGACATTTCTTTCCCTCAGCCACTGAGACGCTTTCATATTCTAGTGAGTTGGAGAAATTAAAGTTGAGTGGGTAATTTTAATCTTGACACCTGGCAAATTTTGGTGGATTGTTTTTGTGTTTAATTTCTTAGAGCAGTGCAGGAGGAGCTCACTGTTTCCCAGACCTTCGAGTTGGAGTGTTCAAAGAAATTGTACCTATGGGCATTGATCCAAAGATAGTGTCTTATAAAGAAACTGGTAAGTTGATTTAATGAAAAATAAAGCCTCTCACCCAAGTGAGAGGTAAGTGAAGAACAAAGTACCTTCATCAAAAACATTTCCTTCTGCACAGTGGCCAGGACACAGGAGAAGTAGATATGGAAATTGATTTCTTACTGGTAGTCAAAAGTTACTGCTGCAGGGGATTTGCTGGCCCAGGTTTTGGTTTGCTAAGTATTTAGCTGCCTCAAAAAACTTTAGAATTAACTTTCTGTTTTGTGGGAAACAGTAATAGTTCAAATGACCTTATTTTGGTGTAGGGACGTACCTTGTGCTTTAGTCAGGGAGCAAGTCATTGACACCTGTTAAAGGCAGATGTAAGGTGAAACTATGTATGATGGTTAGGAAAGACATTTCAATGCATGAATATATTCATATTTGTTCTAAGTATTCTGTAGGTGCTTGAGACTGCTGAGAAATGATACCATATAAAGAGCTCCAATGCTCTTGTGGTTAGCTTGCAGTAAGAACCAAGCTGTATAGGATGAGCTTTCCATGGAATCTTCTTGTGGATCCAGTGGATTCTGGTGCTGTGGATGCTGAGAGGTTTTTTTTTAAAGAAAATGCTA